AGCCCAATGACCGGTACTGTCCGGCAGGTCTGCTCAGTTTCAGTGTAGAGGGTCCGAACTCTGAGCTGCAGGCTGAAACGGAGGCCGTCTTTAAGTGTTGAGGGCCTGTTGGAACCACTCCCCTACCAGACCAAGTAAGGCTGATGATCTGTGTCTGACGACTCGACTGTCTCGGGGGATACGAATCCTCCCAAGGACCGGTACAGACCGGCGGGCTGCTCGGTGTGGCACAGTTGGCCGGAAAGGCTGAGTTGTGGGCTGAAAGCACAGGCAGAACCAAGCTGATCACGTCGTCCTGTCTGCGACGTTAAAAACTTCTAGAGGAGTTACGGGGGATCTCCTTAAATGCCTCCTGATCAGCCGCTGGTTCAGTAGTGACAGCCATAGCATAGGTCTAGGCTAGAGGCCATAGTTGACAGGATCCCTGTCAGGATTCTGTAAGTCTTAGATTGAGTCTATAGGTTTGTCAGTCAGGGGTCAGAGTCTACGTGGTGAGGTTTGGAACCACTAACCCGGTTGTACACTTATCACCATGGTTGAGACCCGCCAACGGACGATTACTACCCCTTATACTGCTGAGCAGCAAGCAAAGATGGCCGCCTTAGTGAAAGAGAACAGGGAGAGACAAGAGCGTGAAAAGCAGGCGAAGCTAAAGGCTATCGCAGACGAGCGGGCGGCAAAGATGAAGGAAGTGGAGGAGGAGATGAAGAAGAAGGAGAAGGCTGTTGAAGAAGAAGCGGCAGCAGAAGAGGAAAAAGAAAGGATGAGGATTGAAAGCAGAGAAGGGAGCAGTGGCACGAAGAAGGACACAGACGCTGAGATTGAGAAGAAGATCAGCGAGTGGGTTGCTAACTTATCGTTGGGGGAAGATGAAGAGGCGGAGTCATATGTGACTGAGGATGAGAAGGCCGCATTGGCCGCTGAGCTAGCAACCATGACAGATCCAATGGAGCGAAGAGAGAGGGAAGACGAGCAAAAGTTGCAGTGGAAGCTGAGAATGAAGAGGGAGAAGAGGAGGAGGAGAGAAGAAGTGAATAAGATGACCGCAGCAGTCGCGAAGGTGCAGGAATGTAGAGCGGAGGTATTGGCCCAGCCAGATGATAAGGCCAAGTGGGATAAGGTACTGGGGTACCTGGAAGTGTTGAGCAAGGCCTGGATGGAGGAGCGCCAGGCTAGTTGGAGTCAGGATGTAGCATTGAGTGCCATGCGGTTAGGATTTAGAGAGTTTGCGCGCGAGATCGTCACCCACATTGGGGGCGAAGTGAAACAGTTGAGGGACAATGTAGGGAAGTATTGTGAAGGCGCCATTGAGGGTGCCAAAGCCATAGCTGCTGCAGAGGGCGAAGGTAGACCCCGCAAAGAGCCTGTAAAGCTCAAGTTTCCAGGCGCGTACGGGGGAAAGAAGGAAGAAAACTTTGACAACTGGGAAGCCACTGTCAACAGTTATATCTATTTGCAGCATATCCTAACTGAGGAGCAAGTCCTCGTGGCCTTCCAAGCCCTCAAGGACGAACCAGCTAGTTTCGCTAGGTCTCTTGCGCGTACAGCCGGTTGTGAAAACAACCTGGTTGCGTATTCCAAAGTCACTCCTCTCTCCCAATTCCTCAAGCTCCTCAAGGAGCGGTTCGCTGACMCAACKCGAGGCATTARAGCCTCTGATAAGCTCCAAACGATTCACTCTCGGCAGTGGAGGAGTGCTAAGGCACTCAAGGGTACTATGGACGACTTGGTAGCCGTCCCGGACCACGGGGTCA